ATTGGAATGGGACCAAATCCCACATCTGGAGTGGGGTCTGTGCATTGAAATGGGATCAAATCCTACATCTGGACCGGTGTGTGTGCACTGGAATGGGACAAACCCCACATCTGGAGTGGGGTGCATTGAAATGGGACCAAATCCCACATCTGGAGTGGGGTCTGTGCATCTGAGTGTGACCAAACCCCACATCTGGAGTGTGGTCTGTGCATTGGAATGGGACCAAATCCTACACCTGGAGTGGAGTCTGTGCATCTGAGTGGGACCAAATCCCACATCTGGACTGGGGTCTGTGCACTGGAATGGGACAAACCCCACATCTGGAGTGGGGTCTGTGCATCTGAGTGGGACCAAACCCCACATCTGGAGTGGGGTCTGTGCATCTGAGTGTGACCAAACCCCCGGGATAATTCCTTTTGCAGGGCAGTGCCTGCTGTTTGCTGGGATCTGCCAAACCTCCCCGGGTCAGAGCATCCAGCTGCACATCCCCCCCTCACCCACAGGTGTGTGTGGACCCTGTGGAACCTCCCCCAAGGAGCAGGGGAAGGAGCTCAGTGCTCCTGGGATGCGTTTCCTCCCAGCTTAAAGTGCGGGACCAAAAGTGGAAATGTTTCTAGCAGGGAAAAATCAACATCTTAATTCCCATTTTTCCATGTGTTCCCTCACACACACACAAACCACACCGTGCAGGAGACACTCCAGCCCACACACGCAGCTGAAGAGCAGCAAAAAGAGCATCAGAAAGGGAGAAAAGGGATCTTTTCACCGTTCCAACACCCCTCGGAATGGGGAAATCCCACCCTGGTGAGCTGGGGAAGTGCTGGGCCCTCCCAGTTCGTGGTGGTGCCACCAGTTCCCTGCTCAAACTGGGGCTGGTGCCTTTCTCAGGTCAGCACCAAAAGGCAGCGACAACCATGCAAAAGGTGAATTTTGGCTATAAAATATGGAAAAGATCAAGAGGACACTCCCCACTGGCCTTTGTGGAGCTGTGGCCCACTGGGCTGCTCCCCAGGAGAAGACTGAAAACAAGCCTGTTTTATTTTAGTGAGAGTTTAGTGAGGGTTTCAGTGAGAGGTTGGAAACCCACCCCCCATTCCTCCTCACCATGCCAGGGGGATTGGCTCCCTCCAGAGAATTCCTGCCCCAGAAGGTCCCAGGTCCCACCACACATTCCCACCAGGGATCCTCCTTCCCAAAGCCCTCCCTGCCCCGTCCCCCCTCTCTCTCTGGCCCAGGGGTGGCTGTACCCGTTCTTGGCAGTGATGTAGGACATGATGTTCTGGTTGAAGAACTTCAGGATCAGAGGGATGCAGTTGGCAAACACCAGGTGCTGGGACACGTACTCGAACTGGGGGAAGAGAGAGAAGGGAAACTGGTCAAAAATGGGACAACTGGGAGCACCACCTGGGAATGGGGATGTTTCCAGCCATGAGCAAAGCACTGCTGATGGTTTGAGACACCTCCCAGACCATCTCCCCCCTGGCCTGTGCTGTGTCCAGCAGCTGGAAAATCCCATTTGCCACAGGGTGGACACAGGAACTTTGTGGCAGTGCTTTAGGAACAGCTGCACCCAAAGCAAATGTGGGTTTTCAAAATTAAAACTCTGGTAAAACGGCATTTGGGGAAGAGGGAAGGAGGAGATGTAGCTGCTATCTGAGAAAATACAATAATTCCTGCTGCTCTCGCACACTAATCCCACCTCCCTTTGAAATTTTGGACTGAAAAAATATCCTTGGCTTCATAAATGCTTTCAGTTTTTCTCCCCCTCAAAGCATTAAATGGTCTTTAAGGTCCCTCCCAGCCCAAACCATTCCATGACTCTGTGATTTCAGCCCTGCCATGGTTTTCATGGTGCTCCCTGAGACCTTTTGGCCCCAAAAACTGGTGATGCCTCACCCAAAAATCACACCCAGAGGCAGGACCAGGGGCACAAAACTCCAGGCTCAGCACCAGGGTCCTCCTGCCTCGGAGAAAGAAAAGAGAGGAGCTGCTCTGGAGTGAGAAAAACGAGTGGGGAAACCCAGAACAAACGTGAGACTGTCAAAATGTGAGGTTTGTTTCATTTTGTGCAATCCAATCTGTGGATTCATCCTATTGTTTCATTTTATCCAATGCAATCTGTGGATTTATACTTATCCTATTGTTCCATTTCATGCAATCCAATCTATGGATTTATATTTCCTCTCAGATAAATATCAGTGGGCAGTAAACATCAGTAAATAACACAGATGGACTTGTGCCACGCTGAAACCTTTAAAAGAATGAAAATATTTAGAAATGCTTAGAAAAGCACTGATTGTTTGACTTGCAGGACGGGTGGAGAACTGGACTACAGCTCGTGTCTGTCCTGCTTTTTAGTTTTAGACCAAGGAAAGCCCTGGAGTGGGTGCAGATGGCACAAAAAAATCAGATTATACCTCGGCCTGTGCTGAAACTGGAGCCCCAAGAACGTGATCCTGCCAAGACCCAGATTAGTTGACCTCGCTGAGGTCCTTCCCAGCCTATTTCTGGTCGCTGGAGATGACACAGAGCAAAGGAAGGTCTTGCCTAACCCCCCTCCCCTTCCCCCTTCTGCCAGGGGGGCTCGGGCTCCGTCCTAAATTTTACCCTGAGCGGCCACAGCAGGAATTTTTCCAGAAGTCCTAAAGCTCCTTCCCAATGAGTGGATAAATGATGCTGCCAAAATGCAGCCGAGGGACATTTCAGGCAGGTCCTCCCAGGCTGGGATAAACCCTGACCTGGAGCTGGGATGAGCACCACAGACAGGAAGCTGAACATGAGCCAGAGTGTGCCCAGGTGGCCAAGAAGGCCAATGGATCCTGGCCTGGCTCAGGAACAGTGTGGCCAACAGGTCCAAGAAGTGATTCTTGCCCTGGACTCAGCGCTGGTGAGGCCACCCCTGGAGTGCTGTGTCCAGTTCTGGGCCCTGAGCTCAGGAAGGACATTGAGGTCCTGGAGCAGGGGCAGAGAAGAGCAGCGAGGCTGGGGAAGGGACTGGAGCACAAGTGCTGTGAGGAGAGGCTGAGGGAGCTGGGGGGGCTCAGCCTGGAGAGGAGGAGGCTCAGGGGAGACCTCCTCACTCTCTGCAACTCCCTGACAGGAGGGGGGAGCCAGGGGGGGTTGGTCTCTTTTCCCAGGCAACTCTCAGCAAGACAAGAGGGCTCGGGGTCTTCAGCTGGGCCAGGGGAGGTTTAGGTTGGATATCAGGAAGAATTTCTTTCCAGAGAGGGTGATCAGCCATTGGAATGGGCTGCCCAGGGAAGTGGTGGATTCTCCATCCCTGGAGGTGTTTAAGGACAGACTGGATGTGGCATCAGTGCCATGGGCTGGGAACCATGGCAGGGTTGGATCAAGGGTTGGACTTGATGATTTTGGAGGTCCCTTCCAACCCAGCTGATTCTGTGATTCTGTGATTCTATGACATGCCACGGAAACCCTTCCTGCAAGTCTTTCAGGAGAGGGTTTATCAGGACACACCAACATCAAGAGCAGCCTGGCAGTGGCCAACCCTGCCCTGGGCTCACCTGGTAGATGTGGTTGAGCTTGAAGTGCTTGAGGAGCAGCAGCAGCGAGGCCGAGATGCTCTTGACGATGATCTCCTTGTGCCGGTTCACGTCGATGCCCAGCTTCATGCTCTGCAGGACGGTGACACTGGCAGGAAGGGAGGGAACAGGGGTGTGGGAATGTGGGAACAAGGAGCTTGTGTTCATCTGGACAAGCTCGAGGGGAACAGGGACCCTTCTCTTCCCCCCGTGACTCCCGTTTCCATCCGCGCTTCCCGGTGATGCCAAAGCACATTAAAAAAAGGGGGGAAAAAAGTGGATTTCCCTCCGCCAGCAGTCCCAGGGGACGGGTATGAAGGACACCTTCCACATGTTGATGTATCTTTGTGATTTGGGTCGATTAGCAGGGTTTTATCATTTGGGTCATTTTTCAATCAGCGACCGCGCCGGGATTGTCGCGCTCCTGGAAAATCCAACGGCACTTCCCTGGCTTCCACCCCACCTCTGCACACAGACACCCCAAACCTGGAGCCCCCCAGACCCAGCAGCAAACCCCAATTCTGCAGCTCGGCCCGAGGCTCCAGGGCCCAGTGGGGACGAGGGGGATGGATGAGGGGGATGGATGAGGGGGATGGATGAGGGGAAAGAGGGGAAAGAGGGGGGACGAGGGGGGACGAGGGGGGACGAGGGGGGACGAGGGGG